TATCCACCACTCTCTGCAAAAACCCACCCGATTTCCTTCACTCACTTTCCATCTAAACCCCTTTACCAACATACTCTGTAGTCTCATCGACCAACCGATTTTAGAGTTATTTCTTCTTGTGTTTTTTTGTTATTCCACCATGCTAACACAAGTTTTCTAATCTCTTTTGAGTGAGTTTTTCTATTATCCTCACCACGTTGGCTGCGAAAATTTAAGGGTCCTATTGTTCTAGTGTAAGCATTATATATTCTAAAGGCATACAGCCAATGACCACAAGGTGTATAAAATTTTACATATGATGCGGTTTGAATATATTGCTTGAATTGGCTTAGGAAATTATTTCCTAATAGAATATCATTCCCATGCTCATTACTTTCATAGATTCGAGGAATTACAACTTCGGTTCCACCAATTATGGCAGTAACTCTTTCTATTATAATTTGATATTGAATAACACTTCCATTTATGGCTATACCTTTCATTGTTTGAGAGGTTTGCTTCTAATAATGCTTCGGCTCACATTGGTTTTTGCCAAACATATCCTAGATCCTATACCTATAAAAGCATGAAAGAATTTTGTTTTATATTCCTCATACTTTATTCCAATTGATATGCATATGCTATAGATACTAGTTTTCATAGTATCTTGGTATAACTACTTCTTTCCACTTAAGGTGATCTTCAAGCAATGTTCTTGAATATTATATGGCTATATTGATGTTAAGAATGTGTTTCCTAACATTAATTCTATACTTGTAGTCATTTTTGTTTTAGCATGAGGTGTTATAGTGATTTCATATTGTATTTTATTCTTATCTTCTATTCAAAGAGTTACTCTAGCATATTCATGTACTGTGGTCACTGCACCATTAAAGTTGAAATATGTATAAGGTTTAGTGAGTTCAAACCTTTGTAGGTGTGGGATCATATTTGTATGGATATGTGTTACTTCCATGCCTATATCAATTAGGATAGAAATGTTATGCCATTCTTTTCCATCATAACAGTCTCCCTTTATTTTAAAGTGTCTAAAGGGGATTTTTAAGGTGTCTAATACCATTTCATGGTTAATACTAGTTGTCCTAGTTAAGACTTCTTTATCTTTCTTAGAGTAGCTCAATGCACCTAAATCTATACTATTTCTATGGCTTAGTTTAGGTTTTGTTCTAACCAATAGTCTTCCCAACTCATATGCCATTAATCTAGGTTTTTCTCTTTTTCCTATTAGGAGTGGTTTTTCACTAATTTCCATTTTCCATTCTTTGGGTAGCTCTATTTTAGTGATCATCTTTGGTTTTTGAATTTGTTCTATTTCAGCGAACATAAGATCTAATTCAATGTATTCTTTATCTTTAAAAAGATTAGATCGATGACTATTGGTCAATGCATAACTTATCATATAGTAAATACTCTATGGCATTGATCCATCTTTCATGAAATTTTCTCTAGCAAATTCATGTGCTAGACTTAGTGTTTTGTTGATATTTCTATCATTAATATTTACAGCATATTTTGGATATATTGTGAACATGAGTTTTTGATAGCTAAGGTTACCTTGCACTAATCCTAGGATAGCATCATTTCTATCATTAATTCTGTTATCAATTAAAGCTATCTTTGTTAGGGTATCTACACCTTCTCTAAAATGAGCCTTAAATAAGAATTTGAATTCCTTCTATATGGATAAAGCCTATTCTTAATCTATCAAATTCTTTGATTTTTTACAATTTACTTTCTATTTCTGACTTGATGAGCATAGGTATGTTTATTAATCCTGTTGTATTCTTGATAGGAATACTATATTCTTTAGTAGATATTCCATAATAAACTATATCTTTCCCTTTGAAAGATTACTAATAAAGGAACTTGACTTGAATCCCTTTATTATTGCAAGGTCCATTCCTTTTTGTCTAATTCTTTTATACTTACTTTTATCGAACATAGTTATTTGACTATATTCTGCATGTCCTTTATATTCTTCAAAGTAACCTTCTCCTTCCTCAATAATCGGATTTATCACTGTTGGAAGTATTTAAACTCTCTACTCCATATATAGTTTCATTACTAGTTATAGAACTGGTCTCTATTTCACTTAACTATTCTTCATAGATTTTTAGATTTTTAATACTTTCTCTTTTGCATCTTTTAGGACATTCATTTACACAGTGCCCTTCTTCTTTACATAGCCAGGATGTACATTTCTTAGAATTCCTTTTATATTTTCTTGGTGCTTTTGTCTTCTTAAAATATCTCTTCTTCTTTTGAGAATATTTATTCTTATTAAACCTTTGTTTACTACTTCTTCTAGTTTTAAATCTTTTGTTTTTCTTTCTATAGTTTGAAGAATTACATCCTAACTTGATTGGATCACTATTTTTAGGACAGCATAACCCTTTTTTCATGCTTTTTCTTAATTTGTTATAGCTATAAATTTCTAGACACAATTCATTTATTTTGGTCTTAGCGAACTAGATTCTTAGACCTAATGTATCATTCTTTCCTTCCACATAGGTTCTATAGGCTTCTGCTAGTTTTATTCCCCAAGGGTTAGGGGTTTTTCCAAAAAATAATTCTCTTAGGCCTTTAGCCATTCCATGATTTGAGGTTTTATAATAGTATTTCTAAAACAAACAAATGTATTGGTCTAACTCAGAGATTACATAATTCTAAATTCCATAAATTCCATACTATTATTCTTCCAATTTTGGCTTCTTCCTTTTCTTGATTTTCTTCCCAATTTTCTCCGAAAAATTCTTTTCTTATAGCTGATTCAAATCTAGTTATTATATCTTGAATTGCTTCATTTTTGTTTACCTCTTCTAAAGCAGGATTTCCACTTATAATGGCAATACTTTCTTGTTCACTTAGACCAGCAAACCAGTCATGAACTATCCCTCAAAAGGTGACCTCTATGAATCTAACTACTTGTAAACCGTTCCAATTTGATTTGCTATGGCTATCCAAGTGGCTTGAGCCCAGTCACTAATGACATTTTTGTGGTCAGTAACACAATCTAGATCTAGCCAAATACCATTTGTACTGATAATTTGCTCTTTGACTCTAGCTGGGGTTTCAAATCTAGATTGATTTCCAAATTCCTTTTTGTCATATAGTATTTCATTTATTTGATCTCTATTTCTTCTGTAACTTTGATTAGTGCTAGATTCTACCCCTTGTTGTATCGAGAATTCTATTGGTGTTATGTTAGGTTGCCTCTCATCCTTTTCTTCTTCACTTTCTTCCTTTATTTCTTCCTTTCCCTCTCTGCGAGTATTCATTTTCATATTTTCTAGTTGTTTGGTAGTTATGGTAATCTATCTGCACAGATTGGCTAACTCTCTTGCATTTTCTTCTTCTAGGAATTTTTGTTCCAATTCTTTTAGCTTTTCTTCTTGAGTTTTTAACATAAAAAGTGTTATCCCCTTTGATTTAGGTTTTTCCATAAAAATCTTTGGGACAATTCTAAATCCTTCATTTCTTTCTATAATATTTCGTCTGCTACAAACCGATATTATAGTATCTTGTAAATCTCTAAGCTAAGTTTAGATTTTATAAAAATTCTTAATCTATATCATTTTCTAATTGTGGGATTATTTTATTATACATCTTTAAGTTTTTATGACAAAATTTTTAGCAACTGCTTTTAATATCTTAAGAACTTCTTCTATTTTGATTTCTATATCTCTAATTCGAGAGATTATGGTCTTCGAGTCTCTGATAGACCTTATTTCTTCTTTTATCTCTTTCAAATCTTTAGAATTTCTAATTCCATTTATTTTGTCTTTGATAGACTCAAACTCTTGTTAGAGGGATTTTCCCATCTCTTTAATTCTTCTTAAAGTATTTTCGTTGATAGTTTCTATTTCTAGAATTTTATCAATGATACTTATTTCTTCACTACAAATTATGTTTTTACCCATTGTATTGAGTAAATACATGTTAATCCAATTTATCTGTTCATTATTTATATTGATTTTAATAAATCAACTATTTTTCTTAATTTATTAATTTTTTGTTCTCTAAATCTAATTTATCTATTATATAATGCTATAATAGAGTTTATTTTTCCATTTTATTGTCTCAACTCAACTAGTTAATTTCTTTCATTTCTGCTAGGACTCTCTCTTCAGATTGAGCTACTTGCTCAATTTGATGACAAATATCTAGTATTATTCTTGTATTTGTGACAATATCTCCAATGAAGACTTTCTTGGGGTTTAATTGTTGTCTTATGTTTTACTTGAAGACTGATCCTGCAATTTTTCAACTTTGTCTAACGCCACTTAACGGCTGTAGTTATTCTAGGGGCTGATTTGTTTCTGATTTTTTAGTATAAGGGGTGTTTTGTTTCCATTCTTGGTTTGAGGGCTTATATGTCAGCATACTGCCGGTATAGGGGCTTTTTTGAACCTTTTGCCGTGGTTTAAACGTATCTTCACAACGTTAGGGGGAAATAGGGCAAAGAAAAATTAACTCACCTTTGTAACTGCTCGAAAGGAAACCCTATGACAATATACTATAAATACCAATGCTCTCCAGCTCTTTCCCATACCAAAAGCCTTCAACTTCATGTAGCTAGACCCATTCTCACATTTATCCACTTCAAACTTTCTCAGATACGAAAGAAAAATGTTAGCCCAAGCCTCGGCGGTTCCTACCTCTCCTCAAAATTCAACCTGCAAAGATAACCGTCCTACGTCTAGTCAACATCCTTGCATTTGGAAGGATCATTTTCTCAAGCATTCCTTCAACTTCATGGTAATTAATCATATTATAAAATTCCTAAATCAACACTTTTATAAAAGTTTTGGTTAAGCAACACTTTTATGAAAATTATAGTTTTAGAAAGAAAGACTCTTTAATTTCAAAAGTTGCCTAGATGAGGGTGTTTGTTTAT